AACTGCAACCAGGAATTGCTACTCTCCTGCAATGCTCCTGTGCACTTTTGACCAAAGAAATTCGCACGCTGCTGCAGCTGGAATCATTTACCTCTCAGATGGACCGTTTTAGAATGTGAGTTTGTAGTTTGTACTCAAGCGCTCAGAGCACAACTAGACCTGTTATTGACTCAATTAAGAATTTATAACTACGCGGTTTCTGCTCTAAGGTTAGCTCTGCTTGTCACCTGCTTCACACTAATGAGCCTGTTATTTCCGCCACTGCCGAAAAGAACACTTGCCCAATCTAACGTGGCGTCTAGCTGGAGAGTTCGAGATTGGTGCCTGAACATTCCAATAGGAAAGGTTTCTTATATTCGAGGAAAAATATGAGGCAGGGTTCAATGGGAGTAGAGGGTGAGGTAGGCGGTAGAGCGGCGGCAGAGTCTGCGTCGGCGTCTCTCGTTAAAAGACACGGTAGTTGTCGTAGTAAAGCAATTCAGTCTCCCATAACCAACCGTCAACTAAATGAGGCCATTACCCTTGCAAGGGACAGCGCATGACGGGCGTCGTTCTAGAGCTGTCAAGGCGGTACACCAGTGCCGCCATTCTGAGCCCGCTATAATTTTCGGAGAAGCAGCGCTGGCTACATTCCATTTCACGCTCCTCAACACGCCCTATCGTTTGCAGGGATCACGGCTGTAAAATCCCATGATCGTTTCCACTACCTAAGATCTACAATGGCGAAATGAATCTTCAGCGTGATAAAGAAGTGGGGAAGGAATTATTACCAATAACTACACTGTAAAACCCTACCCAGAAAAAACCTGGGTTTGAAAAAACCTAGGCATTAATTGGAGAGTATCACCTCACCTTTATGTATTTGCCAATACAGTAGTTCTGAAATCATCGAGATTTCTTTCAGGAGGCCTTAAAAACAGATCGGAACTCGGATGCCGGAACTCCTTCGCCATCGAGCACATAATCGCTTACATCTTTCAACTACACTAGCCCTCGCAGAATTCTAAGAGTATTTTATAATCGTATTCGTTGTTACTGTTTCACTACTTTTTATCCTCGGCAAAATGCCTCAGGCTGCACAGGATTCTCAATTGCATATCTTTCTAGTAAGTTTTTACGCCAGACGTTTTATGATCGTCGACTTTGAAGACCGTCCAGATTTCTAAACGGTACAGGACCTAATGGGGCGCGTACGGGAAGGCGAACCACTGCAGGGCCACGTAAACTTGCATACTATTTTCTGAAAGCAACAAGGGGCGTGGCGCTACGGCGAAGACGGTCCACACGAAAGCGAGACGGAAACGTATGTATGATTCTTCAACCGCCTATTTTGCAGCGAAATAGCTGAGCACCTCGGAGCGCCTTTATCATGTCCATATTATGTTCTGAATGACTGGACGATCTCTCTAGCGTTCTAGTGTGGGTACAGTCTTGTTCGCTGCGGTCACTTGGGCGCGTCGATTGGCTGGATTTGGCGCGGTGCCGGCCAGTTTTCCACCAATTGTGGTCCCTTCCAGCTTCCACGACTGTGGCCAGAGGGTGGGCACCGCATCAAAGCCAACCTTTCTGGAACGCTCCAACATCTGCAACGAACTAGATTGCAAAAACCTATTCAATTTTGTATTAGAACATTTTTTCATTCACTTTTTCATATTCCATGGAATATTTTTATGTATTTACTTGTATATAATATTGTGCTACCGTCATTCTCATTCCATTGTGATTTTTCATGAAATTGTCATCTTAACGATCTCTAGAAATGAACAAGTATAACTGTTATACCACATGTGAACGTTTCCACCCTTTTCTACTACAGTTTGATACCTAGTGAACCATGATCCGTGGTGAATCCTACCCATAGACGAACTGGGAAGATCCTTAGCCGTAGAAAATGTCTTTTACACCACACAAAATGTGAAATGAGGCTGGATGTTCTGTGTGTCTCCGCCCGGCGTCCAGAACGCGACTAGCAGTCCGTAGACACGCAACACGCCATACGTTACCATCGGCGACATGGCTGCAACGTGCGCATGAAGGTGACGACATAGCGTGCGCATAGCGCATAGAATAGCGAGGGGAATCCCAAGATCCCGCTATCTAGACCCTTCAGAAGTTTCACACTTCTTCGGCAGCAAGCTACCATCTCTCACAAGAAATGAATCCGTCTAACAGATAGTCCATTCGAGTACAGTTGTTTTTGTTCAATTTTTCTGCAACTCCGTGCTAGAGAACAGGATGACATGGGGGAAAAAAGGTAGACGTGGGGGAGGGATGAGGTGTGAGAGACAAATCCTGAATCGTGGGCCACCATCCGTTCCCTGGTACTGATACCGACATGTCTCCCTTCCCCATGCTGTATCCTGATTAGTTGCTATAGGCTTCCCTTCGTTAATGGCTGTGTAGGCTAAATCGCAATAAAACTGACCACGATCCTGAATGAGAGTAGAATGCCTGGAGCATCCCAGAAAGATTACGAACATTGAGAACTTTATGCTTTGTACTGTACAGATCAAATCATGAGGTTTTCGCACAGTCCCTCCTTATAGATATGCGATTGCTATAACCTCGCAGCAGCGTCGTTCCTTTCATTTTCACATTGGGAAACAGTTAGATGATTCATAATGGTCAGATTCTTCTTTCCTCGACCTTCCGGACGATCGCCTGAACATTGAGTATTGCACTTCATTGAGCATTCCCACACTCAAAATAGTTATTGGGGAAGAAATATTGAATGACGAAGAATGAATAATTAACATGAGACGCACATCTCTTGCTTGAAGTATTAAAGCACCCGGCAGCGATAGTAATTAATCGGAAACGAGGGATGGTGGGTAATACCGATAGCGATATAAATTAATGAAGTGCCCAAAATTTGCGGTGCTTTCAGTGACCATAAGTACGACTTCCATATTTGGGGAGCAGGTGCTTCAACAAGGACACGGAGGCTTCGTATGAGGTTATACCCAAGAATGAATCGCGTACAGCCTTGTTCGCTGCGGATGAAGGGGCGTGTTGAGCGGGAATGGTATGGTGCCCGCCAATCTGACGGATTCGCCTCTTCATCCGCAACGAACAAAACTGCAAACATTTCTCCTCGTTCTTGCATATTTGAAGGCTCACTCCAAGCTTCTTGTATGGGTCAGGCCGTGGGCGTGCTTGGTGGGGGCATTTTGCTTGCTCCCATCATCCACTGCCGATGCCTTCCTTGGAGACCTGTAAACTTTTGTAAAAGAAGCGGGAGCTCAGAAGATAAGGGTCTACAGGTCTCGTCATGATGTGATGTGCAATTCAACAGTAACTGGCAAAAGGTATTCGCTGCGGATGGGGGCGTGTTGAGCGGGAATGGTCTGGTGCCGCACCAATCTGATGCTGCCGGATTCGCCCCTCCTCCTCAACGAACAAAACTGCAAACATTTCTCCTCGTTCTTGCATAGTTTGAAGGCTCACTCCAAGCTTCTTGTATGGGTCAGGCCGTGGGCGTAGTTCGGCTTGGTGGGGGCATTTTTTTTGAGCGAAACGGATCATCTGTGTTGTGGAGTGTATTCCTTTCCCATGTTTGTTTTTCTTTGCTTCTAATTAGCAAAAGTGGGAACTGCCCCTCCTAAACAGCGAGCAAAGCCGCGCTATCATTGTTGGGCTGTTCATCTTAAACGTCTAACTATGACTAGGGGGACAGGGCGCACTCGTCAGACTATGACTAGGGGGGACAGGGCGCACTAATTAATATGACATACTCCTAGGGCAGGCTCAGCCCTCAGGAGGAGCGCACACTATGCTTTTGGCGTTGGAGCACTTGATGAACATGGTTCTTGGTATTTTGTTTATATTTTTCAATTACGTCTGAGAACTCTTCTGCTTGCTTTCGAGTTCCAGTACTGATACTTCTTAAGGGATGAGACTGGCTCAAAATATCTTCTACTCCTTACTTCAGGAGTGCCGCAGGGGCCGCTCGGTATGCGCGCTGGAGATATACGCTAGGCCCTGAGATGAAGTGGACGTGGCGGCGTACTTCAACCAAACGTTGCTGTAGATGTGCTCTCGGTGAGATATTTTATTCTTGAGACAATAGTGTTCCTGTCATTGTCCAGCGCGGAATAAGATGACAGCTGTCTCAAGCTGAAATATCCCACAAGTATACTCGAAATCCCTGAGATCGGGTAGGCGTGGCCGCATGTTTCAACTTAACCTGAAGGTGTCTATGCTTCTGGTGAGATATTTCATCTTGACACAATTGTTGTCGTGTCTCTGTCCAACACAGAACAAGATGACAGTTGTCCCAGACTGGAATATTCCACGAGTAACCAGTTCCGTGCCATGTTCAAATGCCACGCCTACTCTGGCTCAGGGATAAGCAGCGTTACCTGCGCGCGTGAAACGGAAAAAATGGAAGTTCGGTATGATTCTCATCAGGATAACATGTGCCTCTTCCCCAACAGCTACTACGACCCCATTCTCTTCTACACAACGACGAAATGCCCTGATCTGCGGACAGTCGCCAGCAAGATCGCACAGAAGCGGCAGGCACATCACTTTTTCTTTTGCCATTTGCGCTCTCTTAGGCGGCGTTCAGACTTGGCGACGGTATCACTTCGATCGCGTCGAACGCGCGACCGAGGCGCTGCCGTCGCCAATTCTGAACGCTGCCTCATTTGAACGCTGCTTGCTGATCAATCGGCCGGTTTAGAGCACAGTTCCCCCTCTCCCCATACCTACCAGCAAATCCGTGGACCCGCCCTGCCTGTTTCCGTGATATGAACTCCATCGACGGAGATCAGACATGACAGCGTTTTATGATATGTAGGCGATCAATCGTAAAAGGAATATTGATGTATAAATGAAGGATCAAACCCTTCAATACGGCCTTTTTCCGGTCAAAACCTTTACTGGGGAGTTTAGTTGTTCAGTAATCTTTGGTATTAGCGTGTGATATATTTGAACTTTACGTCCAATGAGATCTTTCTTATATTCTTCGAGCTATTATTAAAAAAGTACAATAGTAGCTAATTAGGCTTACCAGTTATCAATATTCCTTTCAAACGTGTTTCGGTCATTTCATTTAATGTTTGAGATTCCTTCATCCCTGAAAAGGCTCTTTTCAAAGAGGTTGTTCGAATGGCACGAACTCAAGTAGGTGGCTCAGAGTTAATCAGATGAAACTCTTTAATGCGCATACCATTTGAGTCTGTTGCAGTGTACTTCAGGGAAGTATTATTTTCAGCTAAATATTCGCCACTACAAAAATCTTTGTTCCGCATTCCAATTGCTGACATATTACACGATACCATACTGAAAATAGATCGAACGATTCATTGCTGTAATCCAATATGAGTTCGCAGTCCAGCACTTCACTGTTTATGGTACTAATCTTGTTCGCTGCGGACGCTGGGGTGTTTCAGGAGGCTGGGTTTGGTGCGGCGGCAGACTATTCACCAACTGTGGTCGCCTGGAAGCTTCCGCAATTGGTTGAGCACAGGCCGGCGCCACGCCAAACCCAGCCCCGTGTAACGGCCGAACCGTACCCAGCGAACAAGGGTGCACGTGTTGGCAGGGTACAGCATCGTTGTGTGAAACAAAGAGGGAGAGTCGTACTTTTCGGATGAGGAGGCAGGGTCGTATTTGGACGTTGTTGGGAGAGGGAGTCGTTTGTGAGTTTAAGAGAAATTTGCCGCGTCGGGAAAAATTTTTTTTCGGTCGTTGATTTTTGGCGTGATTTTTCCTGTTGCATGTGTACTATTGACCCTCCCCCCTGCCCGACGGGAAATTCTGGGTGAAAAACGGGAAAATGAGGGAAATTAGTAGGTAGGTGCTTGGAGAAGGGGGTCGTACCGAAACCCTCTCCTAGATGGGGAGGAGGGGTCGCACCAAGTCCCTCCCTCAAAAGGGGGAGGGTCGAACTGGCACCACCATCTCACTCACCATGCTGTGCCTTGTGTGTTGGGGCCACATTGTCCCATGACGTCTCATGACGCAATGAAGACGAGAAAATTGCCTTTCGGACATACACCCTTTCCCCCACTTTCTGCAGTTTCCTCATAAACACATCCCTCGTTAAGCCAGTCCAAGTGTGAGTGACGAGGCGCTAAGATCGTTGAAAAATCAAATTAAGCACGCAGCTCAGGGTAAAAATGCCTCACCAGGGCGCGAAATGGAGAAAAGGTGGTTCCAGGCGCCCGCCTCCCAGTTTTTTTTTCTCCCTCCTATATGTTTTCTTCTCTTTCTACCCCTTTTCCTAGTTCCCCAGGATTTTTCCGCTTCTTCACCAGACAAGATGCCGCCGAGAAGAGAGGTCTACTAGACAACATAGTAGTTGTGCAGGACTTCTGATCGCAGCGCTTGCAGCCGTAATGTAACGATCAGCAGTAACTGTTACTATGCCACGACCGTGGCAACTTGAAGACCAACGGAGGTAAGTTATACTGAGAGTCGTCAGTGGATATGCAACACCCTCAGGCCGTACGCCTGCTCTCTAGGCAGTACAGTGTTCCTAAGTAGATCCAAAATGTTTCGGTACTCTATTTATGCAAGAAGGACTCCCACTCCTCCTGGGAGCTGGCCACTTATAAGGAGCCGGTGTTCCCAGACGCAGGGTACAGCATCGTGATGTGTGAAATGGTAGTGTAGGTACATCCCCTCTCCGACAGAGGGTCTCGGTACGACCCCCCCCCCTTAACCAACACTTACCTACTACCTACTTATCCCCGACATTTCTCAGTCCGTGTTTTTCACCCAAAAATTTTCCGTCGAGCGGGGAGGGGAGCTCTCCCAACACCCAAATACAACGCCCCAATCCCTCCTCAGCGGAAAATACGACCCCCCTAGGGGTTTTACACAACGATGCTGTACCCTGCCCCCACGTCAACGACGTGCAATGGGATGTGCCACGTCCTATCCTAGCGCACTGGACTGCGGACCTTTATTGTGCTTGTGCCTATTTCACATATGAAGAGAAGCGAAACAGACCGGACATCAGAAATCAGCGTTAAAAAGCCCAGAAATACCTTCCACTCCGTCGAGCCGCAAGAAAATCAGCAAATGGAGGGAATCGTAACAAAACATTCCGCAGACAAACGCAGTGCAATAAAAATGCTCGAGTATATTCACTGCTTGCCATACAAAATACATAGAAATTCAAGCAGTGATTTACAACTTCAAGAAGATTCGCAATATTTCGATATAGCTGAAACAATGTCATATTTAATCGGTACACATAGAGTAGTAACATAAGTAAATAGTGAAATAGTGTTTGTAGATCACAACTAGTAACAGTACATATCATCGTTGTTCCACATACTATAATCTGACAATTGATTGCACGCAGCGTCTTCTTCCACCACCAACCCCTTTTATTTCCAGGTTACTGGGGTGGAATCTAGGGAAATTTCCCATGTACTGAATATGTACCTTGATCAGGTCTATTGATGGGTTCCAGTAACAAATAGACATACTCGAAATCCCTGAGATCGGGTAGGTGTGGCTGCATCCTTGAACTTAACCTGAAGGAGTCTACGCCTCTGGTAAGATATTTTCATCCTGACAAAATTGTTTTCGTGTCTTGTCCAACAAGAACAAGATGACAGTTGTCATAGACTGGAATATTACACGAGTAACCAGTTCCGTGCCATGTTCAAATGCCACGCCTACTCTGGCTCAGGGATAAGGAGTGTACATTCCTATTCGTTGCTGCGTTGGGGCGTATCAGGTGGGAAATGGAACGGGGTTTGGCGCAAAGCCAACTTGCTCTTAAGGAGGGCAGGAAACAGAATTCGGTGTAAACACTGCCGGCGCCCCACTAAACCTGGCGCTCCCGAGACGCCCCTGCATCCCTAGTGAACAAGACCAGAGATAAAGCTGTCATATTAGTTTTCGTTCACGTTGCGGCTTATTGAAGGATATGCAGCTGCTGAGGGTGCCTTGTCTTGTGGACTATGATATACGCTATGTAAGGGTTTTGCCTTTCCAGGACTGCCTAATTAGTCCCATACTAGTAACAGCTTCTTCAAATGAATAAAAACATTGACGCAGACAAAATCAATTACACCTCAGACCAAAAATATGGGGACCCCAAATTTTGCTGTTCCAAAACTGCTGGGTGTTGTCTAGATTCCATTATTACCAAGTAATGTTTCATGTCAGAAGACCTCTGTCACCTTTTTCTGGAATAAATTTATCTCTATCTACCAAAGATAACTTTTTGGGAGCAGCTTTTGCCGTTTCTCAGATATAGCCTCACTCACAAGAGCTTTCCATTACTTATTATGTAACTCTGGAATGGCGACAATGTTGTAGCGGCATGTGGCACGCTTAACACGCGTGCGGTAGGGGGAACGAATCCCGGATCGGCGATTACTGGGATTTAGCCTTCGGACCGGCTCCCGCGTGAGCCAACCAAGCTCTATTCTTTGGGATGGTAAATTGGTAACAGATCCATTTGGTAGTACAAGAGCATGACTAGTGTAAGCTGGCCCTTGCAACTCAGTGTATAGACCACATCCCAATCATTAGGCCACCGATTTTTAACGGAAATGGAACGCGTGCCGCACCTCAGAAAAGGGACTGATCGATGCTTTTTCATTTATCCTTTATCGTTATTTCAACACCTTGCGATTTTCACGTCATATCCGCAGACCCGGCGCGCGATTATGCCGCTCCCGTGTTTGCTTGTCTGCGTCCTCTCACCAAACAAAAAAGTGGCGTGAATTCTAGCTTCAAAGCTGCGAGGGATTCTTGACAGCAAGACTAGACACAGGAAGAGATATGAAGAGGGATAAAGTCGCCGCTATGAGACGTCTTACAGCTACCTTTGCCCCGATTTTCCTCACTAACTGTGAATAATTTCAACTCTTCTGAAGAAACTTCGAGTGCATATTATTACATAATTTGTTACATAACATAATATGGCTAACGACACTTGATTTATACATGAATTGGGAAAAATAGCCTCACTTGAAATCCGTATAAATTATCCATAGCTTCATTTTGCAGAACCATAACAAGCATTTGAGGTAGATTGCCGAGTATAAATATCACACAAATCACAACCATGAGCACAGTAAGTTTCTTCTCAGAAAAGCTTCGGACCAAGTTTGATTCTCTTCGTATACTGAAAAACGATTCATTGAGTAATTTAACGGAACTCCCTGACCTGCCACATATGGGAGGGAGGGGGGGGGGTCTCGTATGCATGTGAGTAGTCTAGCTACAATATGTAGAGTCCTAACCCAACAAGACCCAGAAGACTGTTTCATAGGTTGAAGGCCTCTGAATGCAGCTATCTTTCTGAATGGGATTTCGGTGCGTGGCGCAACCCAAAGCGGCATTGGGACATTTCTGAAGAACTCTGGACGACAGTGTTTACCGACCATCGCGTTCGCCAGCGCATTCGACACAGCTTTGGGTAGGAAATGCCAAGACCCTGCTTTGGGTGGAAGGGGTCGTATTGACACCGCCATTCCTCCCATTTCTGTGCGGTACCCTGATGTCAGCGAATGGAACAGTTCACAAGCACAAACCTTGAAAAACTGCTATCAGGGCTATTATTACAGTTTATCATCGGTTTCTCTGGAGAATTCGGATCCGATGGTTGTGAACGCCGCACGAGACGTCGCCGTCGTATCTGAATGGGATATAGTTTTACTCATTACATAATTTTTCAACTTCATTCTTTCATCTGTACGCAAACAGTTAAAATCCTGATAACCGTGGAGGTTACGGTGATCCGATCGCGCGATGCAAGTGATCGATGGAATCGTGAATTATAAACCGCACCCATTACCTCAGCAAAAGTGAACCATATTCTAGAATTTATTGAAAGTCCCGCATAACCGACAATTCATACCCATACACGTCAAAATTCAAGCTAGATTTGTATAAAAACCGTCCCGACGCACGTTGGAGTAGGAGCTCTACGTTTTGCGCAAGAGTTTGGCGCGAAAGCGCTCGACGTCAGTCGTAAAAAATTTTCAGGCCACCAAAATCACTGCAACCCTGCGGTTCTGTTTAATGCCGATGCTAGAGCGTGTCAGGGGTTTAGCCAGGCACAAGTCTGTTCCCATCAAGCAGACACACAAAGCAGGAAGAAGACAAAAAAGGAATTGGCGCCACGCCAAGCAGAGGTCCTGTCTGACCCTTCCCAGCGTCCGCAAACAAATACCGTGAAAACCTTACGAGGGAAGCCCGCCAAATTACCATGGAACATTGAATGGAGGCCTGTGTAGTTCGATAGAGTCTTTAAGGTTATTTACAAATATAGATAGCAAAACTGCAACCTGCATTTCACAAGCAACTTATGAGCAGGTAAAGTTTGTAATGGTGCAGTAGGGTGGAGGCTTGGTGGTGAGCTGTGAAGCATAAGTGAGGAATCGCTCCACCCTACTAAAGCATTGCAAAATTTACCTGCTCATAAGTTGCTTGTGAAATGCAGGTTGCAGTTTTGCTATCTATATTTGTAAATAACCTTATAGACTCTATCGATCTACCCAGGTCTCCATTCAAAGTTCCATGGTAATTTGGCGGACTTCCCTGGTTAGAGGTCCAAACAGGTGTGGCGAGTGGAGCGCCATCACCAGGCACTGAACCAACGTTATACGCGTGTTCAGGAAAACCGGCAACCTCTTCCGGAGACTAATTCTGACCGTACTCTTGGTAACAAATTCCAATGAATCCAGCTCACTTTTCGAATGTGGAACTGTAGTGGCAAAAATGCTCATCAAATGTCTTCGAGTAGCGCTGTAGCGTTAAAACTCAAGGGCAAAATAGGAGTAGACTCGTCCAGAAATATGTCTCCGGAGGGTTACCGTACTCAGGACAGGAGTAAGCGAGATTCTTAAAGACAAACTGTACACTCAATTGCGAGAAGGGAGCTTGTCATGTGCAACGTGAATGGGTTCGTAGCTGCAGAAACGTGCTACTTTCTCCGCTCAGAAACGCATGAGACTGAGCTCTAGGGCATTGGGACCCGTGTGCCATCTCTACCCTTCGCCCTCGATTCCTCGGAATGCGTTGCGTTTTTTCGTAGTCTCGCAGCGAAATACGCACTGAGCGGTAGAGAATAACCAGAAGTGAGAGGGCCCAGACAACCAGCCTTTTTGGCTATGCTCAGGAGTGTGGCCGTGCGGCAGCGCGGATGCAAGATGAGGATATGATTGCCCTTCAACCCAGTTTCCGGCATTTTTGATCGCAAAATGTGGCACGTTTCACAACTGTGATCCGTTCTTCTTGCACTTGGCAATGACCATGACCCATTGAGATGAGTGTTGAGTTTGTTTTTAGGCTAATACTCTCGTTAATTGAAATATGAAGCGTGCAGGACTAATTCGGGTGTGATGAAACCCTGCTCAATATTGTGAAATGCTCACATCATACCTTATTCAGTTGCAGCTTCCGAGCGATGACTACATTAAGAAACGTCATTAGCGTGACGAAGAAGAATCGTAAACATTCCCGTATCATTTTGTAATAATTAAAAACCGTCCAATGTGGTTCCCTGAAATATGATACATTTCGGGAAGGCGAAGCACGTGAACGGACATCCATCCTAATTAGCGAAAGAGAGTGTTTGGGGGGGGGGGTGCGTATTGAGTCTCAGCCAGCGCAGCTTTTCCACCAATAATGCTATCCTGAGCCCGCAACAACTGGCCCAAAAGGCTGTCTTGGCTGCACGCCAATCGTCCTATCGTTTGCAGGGATCACGACTGCATATTAGGTTGGCCAATAAATTCTGAGACACCTTTCAATAATTCATTACCGAACTGTTTACTCTCGTGAGTTAAATTTTTGAACGTTTACTCTCGTGAGTTAAATTTTTGAACATTGACGTTCGTACGTTCGTACACACGGCATGCTGCCAACGTCCAGATAGCTTGTAGATCTCCTTACTCAAAGGCCTAGGGACTTGCTATCGGAGAACCAGTCTAGGTTTCAAGGCCGTATTCACCAAGGAAGTGGTATCTTTTTACACAATGAGCCAGAGAGTGAGAGAAGTGCCAGTCGGACCGGGAAATGATTGCGGACGGATGGAAGCGTCCATTCGAGACTACACATCTTCATCTGGGTCAACCTCGTGTGTGTGCTGTCCTGCGAAAG